ATTCCATATTTTCCAAACATAATGATCATCATTTCGCAATTTTATAATTACAATTTTTTTGTTTTCAAACACACACTAGTCATCTATCCATATACGTTGTAAATATGAAATTGCTAAATCAAGTCGAAATAAAAAATAGTAAATAAATTGATGCCATTTTTTCTATTTCTATTGTAAGTTGTATCTGAATAATGGTATTCATTGTCAAAATCGTTAACGGAATGAGTAATCCAGGCTCCAATTCAACATTAATGAACAACAAATAACAGATTCCACATAAAATTAGGCAATTCTTTTACAAGAAAACAAATTGGCTACTAATTGATCCTTAGTATCTTGTTATATAACCTTAAAAATAAGTAGAATTATTCCTCCACTATGTAACTAATACATGCCATACTTTTTAATTGAGGGCAACCTCTTGAAGTGGTGGGGCAGATGCATTAATGTTACTATAATGATTAAAAAAACCTTCCTAGTCATCCTTATTATTATGGGAATTTTTTTTTTTAAAGTTCCATATATAGGAAAAATGTATCATATTAATTTGTAAGATTTCATATCAATATCAATATTAGGAGACCGTACACTTTCACATCTTTGCGGGTCCTTTCTCTAGATTAATACTAGTGTAATTCGCACGTGGAAAATAATTCAGATGTCAAGTTTTAATTACGATGTTATTAAGCATATAAAATTTAGATATAAATTCTCAAAAAAGAAAAATGAAGAAAAAAATTAAAGTTTCTGAAGAAAAAGGGGGTAAAAAATAACTAAATTGATGAAATAAACTAGTTTCAAGACAAATTTTAAAAAAGGGTCAAAAATGACCAAAATAAAGAAATATAGGACCAAAACGGAGAAGAAATAAAGTTTTTAGAGAAAAAAATGAAAAAAATAAAGTTTTAGGGGAAAATAAAAAAATGTAAAAAAAAAGACTACCGGAGCTATATATAAGTAGGAAAATATAATTTTTTTTGAAGAAAAAAAGGAAAAGGAGAAAGATGAGCTAAAAGAGGGAAAGGGAATCATCATTGTTCATGTTTCAACTAAAATGAATCATCATTGTTCATGTTTCAACTAAAATGACGGCGTTTTGGTAAAAAAAACGCATGCTATAAGTTTTAATTACCGTGTTTTTAAGCATATAAAATTTGAATATAAAATCTCAAAAAGGGAAAAAATGAAAAAAAAAATTTTAGAAGAAACAAAGGGCTAAGACGGAAATTTTAAGATACCGTCAAAAAGGGGAGAGAAAAAGCCATGGAGGGAAAAAAAATTGTAGTATTCATTACTGTTCACCTTTCGACCAAGACGGTGACGTTTTGGTCGAAAATGGCGTGAATATGAAAGCAGATTCGGCTTTCTTAAGATCTCTCTGGAGTGCATATGGGTTGATTTATTTTTCGTTTTTCCTTTTGCCATGGACATGGGTCTCTTTGATTTTTTTTTTTTTTGTTTGTTTGTGAAAAGGGGTCTCTTTGGTTAAAAACATAAGAAATGATATAAAAGACAAACGGTTATTAACTCCGTTTAGAACTTAACAAAAGACCAAAAATCCCCCAACAGGAGATGAATGAGAGGGGGGAGGCAAAGAGGGTGGTTCACTGTTCAATGCACAGTGAATCCACCTTATTCTTCTCTTAAAAAGGAAAAAAAATGAAAAAAAGAAGATTTAGAAGATAAAAAAGGGGCCAAAAAAGAACTAAAATAAACAAATAATGAGTTTTATGAAAAAAGTGACTAAAATGAAAAAATAAAATTTCAGGGTAAAATTTTTAAAAAAGGGTAAAAAATGGACCAAAATAAAGAAATAAAGTTTATGGGAAAAAAATAAAAAAAATATTTAACAAAAGATCAAAATGCCCCTGACATGAGATGAATGAGATGAGAGGGACAAAAAAGACAAAGACGGTGTTTTCGCTGTTTCTCCTTTAGTGTATTTATAATATATCCAGGACCTCATTCATTACTTTCCCATAACAATGTTTTGTTGTAACAGGCCATGCTGAAAATCTATCACGACATGAATGTTTGTTGGGAATTTTAAAGACTGCAACGATGATATTGATCAACTTTTTTTTTTTTTTTTTTTTCTCAACCATCACAAAGCATAATATGAAATTGTTAATTTTCATACAATCATAATTTTATTTAGGTTAAAATTTAAACCTTTCTAATAATTTTACACTGTTATTGGAAAAATTTTTATGAATAGCATTTTTTATTTCGAAAAATAAATATAAGTTGGCTATATTTATTATATTTATCATTATTAAAACATTATTGGCATAACTTAAAAAACATAATTAGCATCTCGTGTCTAATTTAACTTAAAAAAAGAATCATTCAAATTATTACAGTATTTATTTATTTCTTTTTAAAGAAACAATTGAAAAAACATGTTTGTATTGAAACATAATCATACTTAGTAATTTTAAATAAATTTTAAAAAAAAATGTAAATCGCGAATAGTGGTGAAAGTTCGGGCGGCGGGCGTGCCCGAAGCCTAAAAATTTTTGGGCTCGGCGGGCAGGCACCTGTTGCCGCCAGTCTACGTAAATTTTCTGACCTCAGGCTCGGGCAGCCCGAGAAAAAAACATTCCCCGCAGCCGGTGGGGGGCTGTGACCACCAGCCGCCGCCGGTGGGGGGGCCGTGACCGCCGGCCGCCGCTTTTTTTTTTTTGAATTTTTCCACCGTACCCGAAGCCTAAATTTTTGCCCGATTACTCAAAAACCGGCTAGTTTTTAAAATTTTATGCCCGACCCGAACCCGATCCCAATCCGAATATTTTTGAGGGAAAATTTGAAGTTACCGTTGGAGCTAAATTTTTTAGGGAAAATTTTTTTATTTCAAGCAAAAAAATTCCTTACAAATACCCCCTCCCCTAACCATTTTCCTTACCAAAAAACTTTCATCCTCTCTTAATTTCTCTTAATCTATCTTAAATCTCTCTTAATCTCTCTCAAATCTCTCTCGATCTCTCTCAAATCTCTCTCGATCTCTCTTAATCTCTCTCAAAGCGCTCTCGATCTCTCTTACTTTTCATAATGGATTCTTCCGGTTATGGTGGTGATATTCCTGTTGATGCCCAATTCAACATTGAAGAAGGGCAATTTCCTCCTAATATTTTTCAAACACAGGAATCACAAACACCAGAAAGAGTTACTGAGGAAATTACAAATCCGAGCCGTGGTGGACGTACTAGAGGTCGTGGACCTCGTGGTCGTAATGATGGTAGGCGTGGAGGAGAGGCAAGCGCAAGTGCTAGTGCAAGTGTTGCAAGTTCCAAGAAGAAATGCAAGTGCACCTCAACAGTTTGGGAGCACTTCAACGCATTCGAGGAGGTCGACAATGACGGTAACATTAAATACATGGCTCAATGCAAATATTGTGGTGATAAATTAGCATGTAACACTATTCACGGCACAACACACTTGAGAAGACACTCCAAAAAGTGTCTTCAAAAGAAAGGAGGCGGACCCGATCTCTGCCAAACACAATTATCATTTGACTAGCAAACCGGTGGTCTAAGCACTTGAAAATACGATCCGCAAGTCGATCATATGGAAATGACACGATTGTAGCCACATTAGATAAGCCACTTAGTTTTACCGAACAAAAAAATTGGTAACGTTATATTAAAATTATACATAATCCTAATGTACAAATTTTTTCAAGAACTACTCTTAGGAAAGATGCATTAAAGTTATATAAACAAAAGAGGAACCATTAATCAACATTTTATACTCTACTAGTGGTTGCGTTGCGTTAATGGCAATTTTGGTCGGGCGGCCTTGGGCTGCTCGATCGGGCTCGGGCAGCCAAAACTTGCCCGAAGCCCGTCCAAAGGCTTGCTCGGGTTGGGTCGGGCAGCCCAAAAATTCGGACTCGGGCGGGTTCGGTCATCGGGTAAAAATTTAAAATTTTCGATGGTCACGGGCGGCCCGTCCAAAATTTAAGCACCAATCCCGAAGTGAAAAACAAATGTTAATAACAGGATATGCCTAAGGTACCTCCCTCGAGCTAGTAAATTAAGAGAAGTATTCATATACCGGTAGGACTCAGTTCCAACCCATCAAATTTCATTACGTTGATTCAATTAAACTATTCTTGTAGATTATATATGATAATATTTTAAACTCCTATGTTTTTGTCGAATTTTGTTAATTTTTTTATTTCAAAAAAAGTTAATTATATTATAATTAGGGCTTTTTTTTTTTTTACATAACTTGAGTTGTGACTTGAGTTATGTATGTGAGAGAAAATCATTATAGCAAAAAAGTTAAATTTGAATTTTGATGAGAGAAAACACTATAGGGTGCGGTGCGTTTGAAATTAGTTTTAAAATAATTTTGTTTTCAATAAAAAAGTAAAAATGAAATTATTTTGAGAATCATTCTGAGACTGATTTTGATATTAAGTTTAATTAGTTTTTTAAGATATTGTTTTGATTATAATAAAAAAGTGAAATCATATTTATTAATTAATATATTATAATATTGTTAATAAGTACTAAAAAATAAAAATAAAAAAGTAAAAAAATTTTTTAACTATTTTTTAATTCCTTCAAAAAAAAATCATTATGACTGTTTTCATTTTTATTTTTTAAATATTTATAAAACAAATATTATTCTGTTTTTATTTTTATTTTTTACTTCTTAAAATATGCGAAAATTATTTTTAAAAATGATATTAAATACACATATAATAATACGATTTGAGTAAATGAACATATCCTTAATCTAACTTGGAGGGAATGAATAAGATAGGATTTGGGGGCGCAATGGAAACATGTGGCCAGGAGAGTGTCTTAGGTACAATAAAGGAATGTCGGTGCATCTGTTTTTTAAATTTAAAATAGAAAGAAATGGAAAGAAACATGTGGTCAGAACGCACGTCGCACGTGTCCCATCTATTCAAGAGATATTTTCCGAAGAAAAAAACAAAATGAAAGTTTTCAAAAGGTTTTAAAGAAATAATTTAATGGAACCCACGTTATCACGAGTGGGGAAACAAGTAAGGCTTTAGTAGGAGTGAGTGAGTTTCTGAAACTAGTTTTGACGGAGTGGAGTAAAGAGTGAAGATGTGGGGAATTTGTTTCTCACTCTTTGCTCTAATGAGCTTGGGATTACTAGGAGTAATTGTTTGTGGAAATGTTAGCAGAGATGATTTCCCAACTGGGTTTGTATTTGGTGCTGGCGGCTCAGCTTATCAGGCCCGTTTGATCAATATATGACTTTCGCTTTTCTAATCTTAGTAGAAAATTCAAATAAAAAAAAGATTATTATTCATTATTCATTGAGATTTGGGATTTTGAAAAAGTGTTTTGCGTTTTGTTTTGTTTTGTTTTGTTTGTGCTGAGCAGACAGAGGGTGCAGCAAACCTAGATGGAAGGACTCCAAGCATATTTGACACATTTGCTCATGCTAGTTGGGTTCCTTTTTTTTTTTTTTTTCCCTTCTATTATCCCATGCTGGTTGGTTGATATGAATTAGTTATCCTTTAGTTTTGTTTCATATTAATCGATATATGTGATGTGTTGGGCTGTGTATATCATCATTTCAAAAAAAAAAAAAAAAAGGTCTATATTATGTTTTTTAGCGTGCAGTTTTTTTTTTTAAAATAAAATAATTTTGTAGGGTGAATAAAACTGCAAAATTAGGCGGATGACTGATTTTGGTCACCCATTTAAAATAAATCGCAGAACTTTTTAGAGGCAAATGGCCGAACTTCTGGGTCTTTATAGGCAAATCCCATAGGGCTAATTGCAAGCGTCAAGCCCTTCTTGTTGGTGTGTTTTTTTTTTTTTTTTTTTTTTTTTTTTTCCTCTTCTTTCTTTCTTTTTGAATGGATTGTCACTCACCTTTCAATTTCTTTTTCTTAAATTTTTTTGGTTACAGATTTGTATTTCTATTGGAATACTCTTTGTTCCTTTAAAAACAAATTAATAAGGGATGTTATTGTAAGAGAGGAAATCTTTGGGTACTCTTCTTTCGATTATTAATAACAATAAGGGATAAGGAAAGGTATATCTCTATGACGTTTAAGTAGAATCAGTTCACGGCACAGGTTTCTAAATGAATTTTCTTAAATTTCCAGAGTACACTGAAGGCGCTGGAAACGTAGCATGTGATGGATATCACAAATACAAGGTGTACTTCTGCAAAATGCTCGACTCGTTTTTTAATCATTATAACAGTTATTATTATCACTATTAGTTTCCTTTTTCGTTCCCAAGTTACAGATTAAGGTTGATTAATTTATATTTTTTTTGAAGTACTGTGGCTTTGATATTTGACTTCTGATAGGTTCTAGGGTTTCTTTCACAGAACAAGAAAGGAAAAGAACAGAAATGAATCAAGAATCAAGAACTCTTATTGAATTATAGACAAAAGTACACAACCGCAGTTCTTCGAGAGACTGCAACCTCCCAGCTGGCTTAATCGCCAAGCTCCTCACCAATTCTCTCCTTCGATACCCCCCTACCCTCCTTTCTTTCTCTATTTATTCCTCCTATTCCCTCCTACTTTGCTGTAACTAACTCTCCCCCCGCCTAACCTTTCCCTTCTAACTTCCTCTAATCTGTTACAAACAATCCTATTTACACCCGTTTCCCCTTTCTAACAAAAACCTGTCTGACCAAAGGCTTGGTCTTATCAACTTCTTGTTACCCCAATGTGATCATGATCCAAGGCCTAATCAAAATCTAGACTGATTTGGTTTGAATTTTGAAATATATTTTGGGTTTTAGTTTGATTGTGGTCAATGCATAACTAAGGGTCCATAGAATCTTGCTTGCAGGAAGACATCCAACTCATGGTCGAGACAGGTTTAGAGGCATATAGATTTTCTATATCATGGTCAAGACTTATCCCAAGTATGATCGCACAAACTATTACTTTTATTCAGAAAGCGAAAAAATACCGAGTATGTTCCTGTTTCTCCTTCTAACACACTGATCATTCTATGTTTTCCAGATGGAAGAGGACCTATAAATCCAAAGGGTTTACAATATTACAACAACTTTATCAATGAATTAGTCAGCCATGGTCACTACCAACATATGATATGAGTTTCTTTTCATTTACTTCCTCCCTTTTTATAAGGAAACATAGTGCTTAGGCTTTGCATGTTCCTCATCAACCAGGAATCCAACCACATGTTACATTACACCATTTTGATCACCCACAAGTGCTTGAAGATCAATATGGAGGATGGGTCAGTCGAAAGATTGTGTATGTCTCCTTATATCTTGCTGGTAAATTTCACATCGCTAGTATAAAACCGGGCGATTCACATGCTTGATTGATGTTTTTGAGGATGCAGAAAAGACTTCACGAGATATGCAGATGTGTGCTTTAGAGAGTTCGGTGATAGAGTTAAACATTGGACTACTATAAATGAGGCCAATATGTTTGTAATTGCCGGTTATGACTGGGGACAGCTACCACCTCAACGATGTTCACAACCATTTGGTGACTGCTCCAAAGGCAACTCTTCAACTGAGCCATACATTGCAGCTCATCATATATTGTTGGCACACGCATCAGCCTATAGATTATATGAGAAAAACTACAAGGTAATCTTTACGGATTTTGGATCATGGAAATAGTTTGGTCAACATATCATAACCATTATGTCAACTATACATGTGAAAAGTTAACTCCCTGCTTGATCCTCTAAGCTTGACAAGAAATTCTTAGGTTTACTTGCCCAATTTTCGTTAAGCATGATGTTTGATCTGGTTGTGAGAATATAGAAAATTTCAACTAAGGAAAAGCATATACCATAAATGTTGATCTCTTCAGAGAGATTTTTGGGCAATGCAGGACAAGCAACACGGATTTATAGGATTCAATATCCTTTCTTTTTCGTTTGTCCCTCAAACGCAGAGCAATGAAGATGAAATTGCTACTAAAAGAGCAATTGACTTTTTTATCGGATGGTAAGTTAGGAATTACACCCTCTGAGGCCCTTTTTTCTTAAAAAAAAAAAAAAAAAATTACTGAAGTGGTCTTTGTCTACTTGGAATTAACATAATCCTTTCTTCCCCTCTTGTAGTGGGAAATGGAGATTGTCACTTTGTGTTCCCTTTGAGTACTCATTGAGTTCACTTTGTGTTATAGGTTTTTGAATCCCTTGGTATTTGGTGATTACCCGGATTTAATGAAGAAGAATGCAGGCTCACGGATTCCGGCATTCACTGTCCAAGAATCCAAAAGCGTTAGGAGTTCATTTGACTTTTTAGGACTGAATTATTACCGTGGAATGCACGTCAATAACGTACCCAACACCCTTACGTGGGAAAACAGAGATGCTGTTGCAGATGTGAGAATACAACTAGAAAGTATGCCTCTTTCACTTGAACAGCTTTACATGTGTCAAAAGTCAAAAGAATATATGATTTGTAACTTCTACAACATGACATAGCTATAGAAAAATATAACCTTAGGAAAAAAAAAAAAAAACCTCGAGGCTCAATCACAAAATATCTTTCAAAGACATTATTTTTCTTTTCTTACGTTATAATCCCCTCACCCCAAAATACTAATAGAAAAAGAGTAAGAACAGACCCAACACCCTTCAGTTGGAAAATACGGGACGTTATTGCAGACTTGGGAATACAACTACACTGTGTACTTTTTTCACTTGAACAGCTTTGCATGCATCAGAAGTCAAAATAATTAAGATTTATAACTTGAATAACATGACATAACTGTAGAGAAAAAAACCATCGATCACATTTATCAGTCCTTTTTCTTTTCACGAGTTTTAATCCACTCACCCCATGATAATTAGAGCATCTCAAATGCAATACTAAATTAGTACGTCAATGTTAAAGTTTAGTATTTAAGTAGGAAAATCGCTTTCCAATTCAATGTCATTATTGCTATTGGTTGATATGTTTATTTTTTTAATTTAATCATTATCTATTTAAAATTAAAAGTTAAATTTTACAACTTCCAACTTAATGATTATGGTAAAAAGTAGATTTAGCACTTGAACTAACACTATGCATTGGAACATAAATGAAAATAACATATATTAAATGTCATTTTCATGCTTTTTGATGCCAAATATGCGATTGAATTAGCATTTCCATAGGAGATAGTTTGATAAAAAAAGAGTCAAAGATGTTGTATATGTTGTTATTGCACGTTGTGAAAACTGATTCTAATCTAGACTTCTAGGAATCTTTTGGAAAAAAATCATCTTTGATGATTATAGTTAGTTGCCACATTCATGGCCAATAATAACAATCATTTAAGAGTAGCTTTTAAGTCTTCTTTGTAGTTTAGTAAGATAGGAGGTTCATTAGAGTGTTAAAGAAAACTGTCTATGAATTTTGATTCGGTGCTACTTCTTGGTTGTTTGATATTCTCAACAAGTTACTTAGCTGTGGAAATCTGAGAGGCTTTAGAAAGAAATTCACTGTTCATTCTTACGTTCCTTGTAGCAGACGTTATGCAAAATCAGAGTGTTAGACGACATAATAGTCCGGCAAAGGTTTTTACTGGATGCAAGAGTTTAAGGACTGCGTAGAGAGCATGATGGGAAGTAAATCCTTTCGGTGTCAAAATAATTATTATGATAAGAGCTGAACAGATTTGGGAACAAAACTAAGAAAGGATCGAAAGAAAGAAGAAGAAATCAACTAGACAGCACATGTACACCGATACGCGGATCTTCAAGGGTCCGCTTCCTCCCCGTACTTGGAATGATTCCAAGATTTGTACAACAAACTGATTATCCCAACGATGCATTCTTTCTGTTTCTCTCTCCCTTTTATACATTCCCTTATTCATTAACTACTAGCAACCTTCCTTAGTAAGCTACTAATACTAACAAACTTTCACAGTAAGCTACAGACAGCCTCCCCAAACCAAGACCCCCTTCCTAAGCCCGTATATTCTCCCTAATATACACTTGCCTGAGTAAGGGCTTAGCAATTACACCCCACCTCAAAAAAGTCACCTTGTCCTCAAGGTGGAAAGCCCGAAATTGGCGCTGAATAACCGCAACCAGCTCACTCAAAGACTCAAAGTCAGGAAGATGGTGCCATTTGATCAAAACCTCCAAAGAACCATTGGTGGGGGAGAAACGTGTATCCAGCACCTGGTCCGATTCAACTTGCAACGTCAAATCCTCAGACAAGATGGGAGGTAAAGATTGAGGAATATCCACAGAACCAAGAGCTTTCTTCAAACGGGAACCATGAACAACAGGGTGAATCCGAGCATGGGAAGGAAGTTGCAGCCGGTACGCCACTGGGCCGACGCGAGCAAGGATATGAAATGGCCCGTAATAGCGAGGCGTAAGCTTTTCATTCACTACACGCGCTAGCGCTCGATGTCGATACGGCTGGAGTTTTAGATAAACCATGTCTCCCATCTCGAATGTCAGAGAGCGGCGCTTCTTGTTGGCATGGTCCCGCATAGATTGTTGAGCGCGGCCCAAATGGTCTTTCAATTCAACCAAAAGTGCATCTCGATCGCATAGCTGCCGCTCCAATTCCGATGTAGCCGTGGAACCGACCACATAAGGAACCAACTGCGGAGGATCTCGACCATAGAGAGCTTTGAAAGGCATCATGGCAGCCGAAACATGAAAACTCGAATTGTACTAATATTCTGCCCACAGAAGGTGTGTAAACCACTGCTGAGGTTGATTGGAAACAAAACAACGCTAGGAGGCCTCCAAACAGCGATTGACGACCTCCGTTTGCCCATCCGTTTGTGGGCGGTATGCCATACGCCTACACAAAGTGGTGCCCTGTAATCGGAAGAGTTCCTTCCAAAAGTGCCTCATAAAAACCTTGTCTCGATCGGAAATTATACTCCGCAGAAAACCATGAAGGCGCACTATGTCTCAGACAAAAGAAGCACCCACTGTGTTGGCTGAAAACGGGTGTTTGAGGCCAATGAAGTGACCATACTTGTTGAGACGGTCAACGACAACCAAGATTGAGTTATAGCTGGCGGATTTAGGTAAGCCCTCAATGAAAATCCATGGAAATGTCGTTCCATACTCGATGAGGTATGGGTAGAGGTTGCAACAAACCTGCAGGTGACAAAGTTGACGACTTATGTTGCTGGCAGATGACACAAGCAGCCACAAAAAATTTGACATCCTTGCGCATACCTTTCCAATAAAACTCCAATGCCAACCGCTTGTAAGTCTTGAAGACCCCCGAATGGCCGCCAATCTTACTACTATGGAACTCACGCAACAAGATTGGAATAAGTGGGGATTGGGGGGGAACGGCCAACCGGCCTTTGTATAGTAAGTGCCCCCTTTGAAGAGAGAACCCCTTCAAAGAAGGTGTTCCGACCAGTAACTCATCCACGATTTTGTTGAACCCCAGATCCGCCTTAACCTGCCGCTGCAACTCCTCAATATCAAGCACCATTGGAGTGGTCATGACCATTAAAGCAAGACCCATTTGCTGCCTCGAAAGGGCATTTACCACCTTATTTTCCGTACCCGGCTTGTATTGAATCTCAAAATCATAGCCAAGCAATTTGCATAACCATCTCTGATGCTCCACACTCACCAAGCGTTGTTCCAATAGAAACTTTCAAACTTTTCTGATCGGTGTGCACCACAAAACGTCTTCCCAACAAATAAGGTCGCCACTTCTGAATGGCTAACACAATGGCCATTAATTCCCGCTCATAGACCGATTTGGCTCGAGCGCGCGCCGAAAGAACTTGGGTAAAATAAGCGATGGGGCGCTGTTGTTGCATCAAAACCGCTCCTATGCCAAACCTCGAAGCGTCAGATTCTACCACAAAAGGTTGAGAAAAATCTGGCAAGGCCAGCACGGGAATCTCAGTCATAGCCCTTTTTAAGTGCTGAAAAGCATCCTCGGCCTCAGAATTCCATTGAAAGGCGTCCTTCTTAAGTTGTTGCGTCAATGGCCATGAAATGTGTCCATACCCTTCAACAAAACGGCGGTAATAACTTGTGAGGCCTAGGAGTCCTCGTAATTCCTTGATGGACTGCAGAGTAGGCCAATCCAACATAGCCTGTACCTTGCTGGAATCCGCTGAGACACCATCCTTAGAGACAATATGCCCCAAGTACTCCAATTGGTGGGAAGAGACTTTTTTTGATTGACATACAATTGGTTGGCTTCCAAGGCCGAAAGAACTCTGTCCATATGCTCCAAATGGTCCTCCCAAGAACGGCTGTAAATCAAAATGTCATCAAAGAATACCAGCACAAAGTGACGTAAGAACGGCTTTAATATTTATGGTAACTTTTTAGGTTAAGGGAATATGCTAGGTTTATACCTATTGTATTAGGAAAGGATTATTATCTTTTATTTCTTTCCTTTTTTATGCTCTGTTTCTGTGCCTTTATATGGCCGGCTGTACCTCATTCTATGAATAAGAAAGAATAAGAAATAAAGCAGTGCTTTTCTCTGTTCTCTGTTTTCTTCCCGTGTGTGTTCACATGGTATCAGAGCCATCGGTTGAAGAAAACAATGTATAGAACAGCCTTGACTAGAGCAAGCGGAGGTGATGTTTCTGAGGTTGCCACGAGCAGCCCTAATACAACCTCCACAATTGCTCCCACTGCTGTCCCCGAGAGCCTCAATCATGCCTCCCTGCAGATCACAACACCGAAACTGAATGGGAAGAATTTTCTCAAGTGGTCACGTTCAGTCCTAATGGTGATTCGAGGAAAGGGAAGGCTCGGTTATTTAGATGGCTCAATTCCAACACCAGATCCGAAGGAATCTTCTTATGCAAATTGGGAGGCGCAAAATTCAATGGTGATGGCTTGGTTAATCCATTCTATGGAGGATAACATTGCTGATACTTACATTTTCTTTCCCACGGCCAAAAAGATTTGGGATGCAGTCACAATGGCCTATTCGGATCTGGAGAACACATCACAAATGTTTGAGTTGAGGAACAAGATCCGAACCCTAAAACAGGGGGAGAGTGATGTAACGGGATATTATCATGACGTCACAAAATTGTGGCAGGAATTGGATCTGTTTTCTTCCTCGTCTTGGGAGGATCTTGAAGACTCGGTCTTTTATAGGAAATTGGTGGAACGAGATCATGTGTATGACTTCTTGGCCAGACTGAATAAGGATTTGGATGAAGTCTGTGGTCGCCTACTTGGAATGAGACCACTTCCTCAAATATAGGAGATTTTTGCTGATGTCCGGAGAGAAGAATCAAGGAGGAGAGTCATGTTAGGAACCACTACGTTGAACGTGGAAAATTCTGCCTTAGTGGTCCGTGGACTGGAGAGTCAAGGTCAGGGAGAAGGGAAACCAAACAGGAAATGGTGTGATCATTGCAAAAAGCCCTATCACACCAGGGAAAATTGCTGGAAGATACATGGAAAACCAGCAAATTGGACCTCTAATCGAGCTCATGGGCGTGAAGGAAAAGGATTTCAGGCCTCAATGGAGAAACAAGAGAACACTGAATCAGCCATGGGAGCTGCGGCATTTACCAAGGAGCAGATGGAACAATTGAAATAAATGATAGTACAATCCTCTTCGATGTCCCTTATGTCTCAGAAAGGTAAAACTGTCACTGTTTTTTGTGGGCTGGCCGAGAAAGGAGAACCTTGGATTATTGATTCTGGAGTAACGGATCATATGACTGGGTGTGGAAAATTATTCACATCATATGTTCCTAGTCCGGGGAATCACAAGGTGCAGATCACAGATGGTACTTCTTCAGTTGTGGCCGGTATTGGGGTTGTAAAAATTGGAGATAATGTTGTTCTAAAAGAAGTCTTTCATGTGCCTAATTTTAGTTTTAATCTTTTGTGAATAAGCAAATTAACAAAAGGTATGGATTGTGAAGTGATTTTTTCTCCATCTACTTGTATTTTTCAAGACCGATCATCGGGGAAGAGGATTGGCAATGCTAAGAAACGGAATGGCCTATACTACTTTGAGGTTGATTCAAGTGTTCATGGGCAAGCTCAAGTAGTTGCAAGCACCTCTCTTTCAAGAATTCAAAAAATTATGTTATTGCACTATAGGTTAGGACATCCTAGTTTTCCTTATTTGAAATTCTTGTTTCCATCCTTGTTCAAGAATACTGATAAGTTTCAATGTGAGATTTGCCAATTAGCTAAACATACCCGTGTCTTCTTTCCTCCATTATCATATCGTGCATCTAAATCATTTGTTCTTATTCATAGTGATATTTGGGGACCTTCCCGCATCTCAAGTACTACAAATAAAAAATGGTTCATTACCGTTACTGATGATCATACACGTGTTTGTTGGGTTTACCTTTTAAAAGAAAAATATGAGGTCAGGGATATTTTCAGACAATTCTATACCATGGTTAAAATACAATTTGATGAAAATATCAAATTCCTAAGAACAGATAATGGGACTGAATTTTTTAACAACACCCTGGGGGAATTTGTCACTTATAGTGGGATAATCCATCAAAGTTCTTGTGTTAGCACACCTCAACAAAATGGGGTCTCTGAGTGGAAAAATCGTCACATCTTAGAAGTAGCCCGTTCCTTGTTGTTTACAGCCAACTTACCAAAAATTTTTTGGGGAGATGCAGTTCTGACTGCTACCTATGTGATTAATAGAGTACCTTCTTGTGTCCTAAAATTCCAAACTCCAATAGATTGTCTATACAAGTCATACCCTTAGTCTCGGGTTCCCTGTTCGTTAGAGCTAAAAGTGTTTGGTTGTGTTGCCTTTGTTCACAACCTTGATCCACATTGGGACAAATTCGATCCTAGAGCTCATAAGTGCATTTTTTTGGGATATTCGGCAACTCAAAAAGGGTATAGATGTTATTCAGTGAAGAAAAGAAAATATTTTGTGTCTAGGGATGTGACATTCTTTGAAAACTAATTCTTTTTTACCAAAAATTCCCTTTAGGGGGAGAGAGTGTGGGAAGACAATTTTTGGGAAAAATCAAAACCAACTTCCATCTCAACCTCAGATGATGCAAATGGTGTGTGGGAATTCTTTTGGGATTTTGCTCCTTCCGAAAACCAGAGTCTTATCCCTTCCAATCCGCCTGAAAATGTTCAAAAATCAGGAAATCAAGAGGAAACTCCAGCCAATATTCCTGAAATCAACCCACAAGATAGACCCGAAATTGATCTTGAAAAGTGTTCCCAAGATAGCCCTGAAACTGATCCCGAATCAGCTCCACCAACCCTTACCCAATCCATTCCTTCAAATCAGTCTCCTCATGAACCAAAAAATCTGGTATCTATAGTGCTGGAACATAATAAACATAAAGAGAGTGGCTTGCAATTTTTTGATCTAAATAATGTACGCAAGAAGAATCCAAAAAGTGTAGAAAGCCAGGAAGTTCCTCACCACCAAGAATCGGAACCAATGACTGGTCTTGAAGTGGAGATTGATGACTTAGGGATCCCAGTTGCATTGAGGAAAGGAGTAAGATCCTGTACTAAACATCCAATGGCCCACTATGTTGGTTATGATCATCTGACAACTCTATGAAGACTTTTATAGCTAACTTGGCCAATGTGGAGATTCCAAAAGATATCCAAGAAGCTATGAAGAAGCATGAGTGGAGGCAAGTTGTTTTAGAAGAAATGAGAGCTCTCGAAAAGAACCATACTTGGGATGTGGTGAGAAGACCAAGAGAGTAGGCTCCGGTTGGATGTAAGGGGGTCTTCACAGTCAAATATAAGGCTGATGGGTCTATAGAAAAATACAAAGCTCGTTTGGTGGCTAAGGGCTATACTCAGACATATGGGATAGATTATCAAGAAACCTTTGCTCCAGTTGCCAAGATCAACACAGTTCGAGTTCTGTTATCCATCGCTGCTAATTTAGATTGGCCGCTGCAACAAGTTGACGTAAAAAATGCTTTCTTCAATGGGGACTTGGAGGAAGAAGTCTATATGGAGATGCCACCAGGATTTGAGGACAAGGGTAATCGAGTCTGCAAGCTAAGAAAATCCCTGTATGGACTAAAACAATCACCACGAGCTTGGTTTGACCGGTTCACTAAGGTGGTTAGGGAACAGGGATATAAGCAAGCCAGAGGAGATCACACTTTGTTCTATTAGCACAGGGATGGTAAGACTACTATTCTCATTGTTTATGTTGATGATATTATATTGACTGAAGATGATCTTGAAGAAGGGGAGAGACTAAAGAGGAAACTGGTAAAAGAATTTGAAATCAAAGATTTGGGAAGTCTCAGGTACTTCCTTGGAATGGAGATTGCCAGAAATAAATGTAGAATATCTGTCTCACAAAGGAAGTATGTGTTGGATCTTCTAAAAGAAACATTAATGATGGGTTGCAAACCTGCAGAAACTCATGTGGAGCCAAATTGCAAGAAGGGAACAGGAGACAGTGATCCTGTAGACAAGGGTAGATTTCAGCGACTGGTTGGGAGACTAATTTATCTGCCGCATACAAGACCTGACATAGCTTTCACTGTTAGTAGAGTTTGCCAATATATGCATGCCCCCACCGAAGGACATTTGGAAGCAGTATTTCGCATCCTAAGATACTTGAAAGGAACACCTGTACGAGGTTTGTTCTTTAAAAAGGGGGATGAGAGTGGAGTCGAGGTATACACAGATGCCGATTGGGCAGGAGCCACTGATGATAGGAGATCTACTTCAGGGTATTGTACCCTTGTTTGGGTAAATCTTGTTACATGGAGAAGTAAGAAGCAATCAGTTGTCTCAAGGAGCAGTACAGAAGCTGAACTGAGATCTGTGGCTCATGGAATTTGTGAGGTTCTATGGCTAAGAATGTTGTTGGATGAACTCAAGATTAGAGGTACACTTCCATTGTGTGTTTATTGTGATAACAAGGCAGCCATAAATATTTCACATAATCCTGTACATCATGACAAGACTAAACACGTGGAAGTGGATCGACATTTTATCAAGGAGAAGATTGAAGAAGGAACAGTTGTTATGTCATATGTGCCTACAACCGAGCAAGCTGCCGATATTTTGACCAAGGGATTGTCTAGACCCTTGTTTGAAAAACTAGTAGACAAGTTGGGCATTTACAACTTATACAGCCCAACTTGAGGGGGAGTGTGGACGAATCCAGACAAATTAAGAACTATTTATGGTAACTTCTTAGGTTAAGGGAATATGCTAGGTTTATACCTATTGTATTAGGAAAGGATTATTCTCTTTTATTTCTTTCCTTTTTTATGCTCTGTTTTTGTGCCTTTATATGGCCGGCTGTACCTCATTCTATGAATAAGAAAGAATATGAAATAAAGCAGTGCTTTTCCCTATTCTCTGTTTTCTTCCCGTGTGTGTTCACACCTTCTCTTACCATTAGTTATTACTAGTAACCACAAAAAGAGGAAAAAAGAAAAATACCAGGCATCCAACAAATAAACACAGAACAATGATATAAGTGATTAAAAAAGTTATAATAAATAAATAACTTAACGATTTATGTTATTGACTCACCTTGAAGAGAGGAGGAATGTTCTTGGCTGCTGTGGATGTAGTTCGAATCTAATCACCTAAAGTGTTGGAGAGAAACATGGAACAATAAAATTTGTAACAAATAAATTGATCTTTCTTTGGGGATTGGGTTTCCCACTTAAATCCTTTCACCCACAATCCATTGGAAACTCTTGTACTTCGCTCATAAAAAATCAATAAAATTTCAGCATATATATATATATACACACACACACATATATTAATGTTCTGCTTGGACCCCAGAACAATTTGCAACAGATATTATATAAACATTTAACGGTAAACTAGTTGCACTTCTTAAGCGTCTCTTTTTTCAGCATCAGATGGGCTTTATAAACAGATCTTGCCTACATTGAGCTTACAAGTCAGTGTTGTTCTCTTCACACAGCTATAATTGCATCTAATAGTTGCCCTTAGGATTTCAGTCAATCAATACTCTCCATCTTAGTGAATCAGTCAGTTGTGATTCAAATAAAGTTTAATTTCAACAGGGTTTTCAATTTAATCGACTTATTGGAGTATTTTTTTTTTCTTGCAGATGTACTAAATGACACATCAACATATGAGGTAAAAGTTCGAATATAAATTTTTTTGTTGGTATATGTATCAGATTTCTTTAATGTGCCGTTGATTATCTAGTTTGATGCAGTATCCAAGTGCACCTTGGGGATTGGCTGGTGTTCTGCAGGATATAAAGCAACATTATAACAATCCTCCTATTTATATCCATGAAAATGGTAGTCTCTCTAGTTCTCTCTCATTACGAAATTACTTTCAGATTATCTTTCAAAAAATCAATGGACGAACACCACAAGAAATCTTGAACAGAAAGCTATTTAGAAATTGATCTCAAATTGTGTGGATCCTTGTGTAATAGTCCGTTAGTTCTAAAGTCAGACTACAGATCACGGTTATTAAAATCAGTCAATCGAAGATCACTAATTTATGGTAGTGCATAACATAATAAGTATATGATAAGCCCTTACTTAGGCAAGTGTATATTAGGAAGAATAAACGGGCTTAGGAAGGGGGTTCTGGTTTGGGGAGGCTGTCTATAGCTTACTGTGAAAGTTTGTTAGTATTAGTAGCTTAAGGAAGATTGCTAGTAGTTAATGAATAAGGGAATGTATAAAAGGGGGAGAGAAACAAAAAAGGACGGTTGGGATAATCAATTTGTTGTTCAAATCTTGGAATCATTCTAAGTACAGGGAGGAGGCGGACCCTCGAAGATCCGTGTATCGGTGTACATGTGCTGTCATTAATAAAGTTCTCGAGTTGATTTCTTCTTTCTTTCGATCTTTTCTTGGTTTTGTTCCCAAATTTCAGCTCTTATCATTTTGGTATCAAAGCATCATTTCTGGGTGATTATGGCAGCTAGGAAAACTGAGGAGAAATTTGAGGCGGTGGAGAAGGAGATTCAACAAGTCAAGGCTTCGGTGGAAAAAGAAATTGGTGAGGTAAGGGCTGAAATGAACCATAGCAGGGCTGAAATGAGCCGTAGCATGGCTGAAATGAACCAGAATGTGTCAGATCTGCGCCGGCTGTTGGAGGAGCAGATGCGACTGCTGGCTGCGGTGAATCGGCCGGCGGAAGGTTCTCGTTCAGGCACCGCGAGGGTTTGGGAAGAAGAGGCAGGGTTGGGCCAAGGTTTAACTCGCGATGTCGCGAGTCTGGTGGAGGAGGACGGCCGCGATCTGGGAGAGTTGGCCGAACCTAGGGTTTCCGGAGAAGGGGAGCGGGGAAAATGCCGGGGTGTGGATGGCCGGGAAAGTCTGGCCGGGGAAGAAATCGTACGCACTAGGGTACGAATCGCGAACGGAAATTGTTCCGATTGCAACCGCGATGGCCGGAATGGCCGACCTAGGGGCGGCGAGGCCGGCGATGGGGAAAGGGGCCTTCGCGAAGGACGGCGCGGCGATTCCCGAGTGGGTGGGACTTTCGAGGACGGTCGGGACTTGCGTGATGGCCGAAATGGTGGAGGAGGAAGAGGACCTCGTACGGTTAATGGAGGATCGTACGGTTAATGGAGGACCTAGGCCGAGGGTTAATGGCCGTTATGAGGGAAGACGTCGTTGGGAAGAAAATGAGGTAGAGGAACCCTTGGACTTCGTCGGTAACTATGGAGAGCTATGGGGAGGTGAGGAGTTGTCACCAGTTCGGCGGAAGCAATTGGATTACCCGCTGTTCAGTGGGATTGATCCTGATGGCTGGTTATTTAGAATGGACCAATTTTTCTCCATCATTAGGTTCTTGGAGAGGGAAAAATTAATTACCGCCGGTATTGCCCTAGAAAGAGATGAGCTATCGTGGTTTCAATGGCAGAATCAGCGGCGACCTTTCGTTACTTGGATTGACTTCAAGGTGATTCTCCTACAACGTTTTCGTTCTTCTCAAGAGGGGAATTTGTGTGAGCGGTTTTTGGCGCTTAGGCAAACAAGTACAGTGGCTGAATACCGCCGGAATTTTGAGGTATCGGCTGCCCCTTTACGAGAAGTGCCGGAGGATATCCTTGAAGGCATTTTTGTGAACGGATTGATGGCTGATATCCGGGCTGAATTGCGCTTTCTTAAGCCAGAGGGACTCTCCGAAATCATGGATATCGTGCAGCGAATTGAAGAGAAAAATATGTTGTTACGGAGGGAGATGGGAGGGTCTCGGGGTTGGCGACCTCAAGCAGCGGGATTCACAGCGAATCACGTTGAAGGGGGATGCTAGTCTTATGAGATCATTGGTTTCCCTCAAGGCCATGATGCGCACAATTCGTCATGAGGGTTCGGGGCATTTACTTGGAGCTGAGTCATTTGAGGGTAGAGCAGGGCCACGGCAAGGTAGAGCAATGCAATGAGCAGCTCCGATTATTGTTGCAGAAACATGCCACTGTTCTTGACATGCCAGCCGGTTTACCGCCTCACAGAGTGAAAGACCACCGCATTATTCTTGAGGATGGCACCAGTCCGATTAGTGTCCGGCCTTACCGATACCCTCACTTTCAAAAAAAATGAAATAGAAAAGTTAGTAAGAGAAATGTTGGCGGCCAGAATTATACAACCGAGTACGAGTCCTTTCTCCAGTCCAGTTTTGCTTGTCAAGAAGAAGGATGGTAGTTGGAGATTCTGTGTGGATTATCGAGCGATAAACAAAGCCACAGTTCCGGATATATTTCCAATTCCGGTGATTGAGGAGTTGTTAGATGAGTTGTGCGGGGCCACCATTTTCACCACACTAGATTTGAAATCAGGGTATCATCAAATCCGCATGTGTGACGAGGACGTCCCTATGACTGCTTTTCAATCACCCGAGGGTCACTATGAGTTCCTCGTTATGCCTTTTGGATTGACAAATGCACCGGCTACATTTCAGTCTTTGATGAATCAGGTATTAAAGCCGTTCTTACGTCACTTTGTGCTAGTATTCTTTGATGACATTTTGATTTACAGCCGTTCTTGGGAGGACCATTTGGAGCATATGGACAGAGTTCTTTCGGTCTTGGAAGCCAACCAATTGTATGTCAATAAAAAAAATGTCTCTTCGCACGAATTGGAGTACTTGGGGCATATTATCTCTAAGGATGGTGTCTCAGCGGATTCCAGCAAGGTATAGGCTATGTTGGATTGGCCTATTCTGCAGTCCATCAAGGAATTACGGGGATTCCTGGGCCTCACAGGTTATTACCGCCGTTTTGTTGAAGGGTATGGATGCATTTTATGGCCATTGACGCAACAACTTAAGAAGGACGCCTTTCAATGGAATTCTGAGGCTGAGGATGCTTTTCAGCACTTAAAAAGGGCTATGATTGAGATTCCCGTGCTGGCCTTGGCAGATTTTTCTCAACCTTTTGTGGTAGAATCTGACGCTTCGAGGTTTGGCATAAGAGCGGAGAATCTAACACTTCGGGGTTTGGTATAGGAGCGGTTTTGATGCAACAGCAGTGCCCCATCGCTTATTTTAGCCAAGTTCTTTCGGCGCGCGCTCGAGCCAAATCGGTCTATGAGTGGGAATTAATGGCCATTGTGTTAGCCATTCAGAAGTGGCGACCTTATTTGTTGGGAAGACGTTTTGTGGTGCGCACCGATCAGAAAAGTTTGAAGTTTCTATTGGAACAACGCTTGGTGAGCGTGGAGCATCAGAGATGGGTATGCAAATTGCTTGGCTATGATTTTGAGATTCAATACAAGCCGGGTACGGAAAATAAGGTGGCAGATGCCCTTTCGAGGCAGCAAATGGGTCTTGCTTTAATGGTCATGACCACTCCAATGGTGCTCGATATTGAGGAGTTGCAGCGGCAGGGCAAGGCGGGTCTGGGGGTCAACAAAATCGTGGGTGGGGTACTGGGCGGAACACCTTCTTTGAAGGGGTTCTCTCTTCAAAGGGGGCACTTACTATACAAAGGCCGGTTGGCCGTTCCTCTACAAACCCCACTTATTCCAATCTTGTTGCGTGAGTTCCATAGTAGTAAGATTGGCGGCCATTCGGGGGTCTTCAAGACTTACAAGCGGTTGGTAATGGAGTTTTATTGGAAAGGTATGCGGAAGGATGTCGAGTTTTTTGTGGCTGCTTGTGTCATCTGCCAGCAACATAAGTCGTCAACTTTGTCACCTGCGGGTTTGTTGCAGCCTCTACCCATACCTCATCGAGTATGGAACGACATTTCCATGGATTTCATTGAGGGCTTACCTAAATCCGCCAGCTATAACTCAATCTTGGTTGTCGTTGACTGTCTCATCAAGTATGGTCACTTCATTGGCCTCAAACACCCGTTTTCAGCCAACATAGTGGGTGCTTCTTTTGTCTGAGACATAGTGCACCTTAATGGTTTTCTACGGAGTATAATTTCCGATCGAGACAAGGTTTTTATGAGGCACTTTTGGAAGGAACTTTTCCGATTACAGGGCACCACTTTGTGTAGGAGTATGGCATATCGCCCACAAACGAATGGGCAAACGGAGGTCGTCAACCGCTGTTTGGAGGCCTACTTGCGTTGTTTTGTTTCCGGTCAACCTCGGCAGTGGTTTACACACCTTTCGTGGGCGGAATATTGGTACAATTTGAGCTTTCATGTTTCGGCTGCCATGACGCCTTTGAAAGCTCTCTATGGTCGAGATCCTCCGCGGTTGGTTCCTTATGAGGCCGGTTCCACGGCTACATTGGAATTGGAGCGGCAGCTATGCGATCGAGATGCACTTTTGGCTAAATTGAAAGACCATTTGGGCCGCGCTCAACAGTCTATGCGGGACCATGCCAACAAGAAGTGCCGCTCTATGACATTCGAGGTGGGAGACATGGTTTATCTGAAACTCCAGCCGTATCGATATCGAGTGCTGGCGTGTGTTGTGAATGAAAAGCTTGCGCCTCGCTATTACGGGCTGTTTCAGATCCTTGCTCGCGTCGGCCCAGTAGTGTACTGGCTACAACTTCCTTCCCTTGCTCGGGTTCACCTTGTTTTTCATGTTTCCCATTTGAAGAAGGCTCTTGGTTCTGTGGATATTCCTCAATCTTTACCTCCCATCTTGTCTGAGGATTTGACATTGCAGGTTGAACCGGACCAGGTCCTGGATACACGTTTCTCCCCCGTCAATGGTTCTTTGGAGGTTTTGATCAAATGACGCCATCTTCCTGACTTTGAGTATTCGTGGGAGCTGTTTGAGGTTATTCAGCGCCAATATCCGGCTTTCCACCTTGAGGACAAGGTGACTTTTTTGAGGGGAGTGGAATTGATAAGCACTTACTCAGGCAAGTGTATATTAGGAAGAATAAACGGGCTTAGGAAGGGGGTCTTGGTTTGGGGAGGCTGTCTGTAGCTTACTGTGAAAGTTTGTTAGTATTAGTAGCTTACTAAGGAAGGTTGCTAGTAGTTAATGAATAAGGGAATGTATAAAAGGGGGAGAGAAACAGAAAAGGATGGTTGGGATAATCAGTTTGCTGTACAAATCTTGGAATCATTCCAAGTACGGGGAGGAAGCGGACCTTCGAAGATCCGCGTATTGGTGTACATGTGTTGTCATTGATAAAGTTCTCGAGTTGATTTCTTCTTCTTTCTTTCGATATTTTCTTTGTTTTGTTCCCAAATCTGTTAAGCTCTTATTAGTATCTTATATAACAATAAACCCTTGGTTTTGGATTACTACAAATGTATGTCGTATTATATTTAGTTGAAAAATCTAATCCAAGTGTTGTTGTCTTCGTTAGATGGGTCTGAAGCATGTGAAGGGTTATATGTTCTAATTGTTGCAATTTGCTCAACAGGTCAAAGAACTAGGCGTAATTTGACATTGGTAGACTGGGCGAGGATTGAATACTTGCAGGCATATATTGGGGGTGTTATGGATACTATAAGGTATATGTTTTAGCTCTACACTGCCATAACATGAGTGGTAACTAGCTGAGAAATGAATACTTCATGCATATATTGGTTGGGGCTTAATTTTTTTAGCTGATTCGTCTTTGAAATTTGATTTTTCTCCCCTACAGTTTTGGTCCCTAGTTCTAAAATTAAAGATTATTATCACCTGCGCCCCCTGAACCTTAGAGACATTCTCTGAAAGGTTCTATTTTGCTGATTTAGTGGAGTTTTTCATTATCAATATCTATTTCAGAATTGTTAGAGTATTTTTTTAGCCCACTACGTCAAGTCGTATCAAAGCCCCGGCTAAGCTTCAATGGATGCCGTTGGCAACAGAAGTAAGGGACGCATAGAAAATTGTGGTTTATTGGTAGGAATCTGTTCAAAACCAAAGAAATTGTCAAGTAAAACAAAAAAATTTAGAGTTGGGCTTAAGATGATAGCAAACAAAAAGCTTATTTCTTACCATTTGAGTTATGAGTCACAACTGCAGTATGTTTGTTTTCCAAATTAATATTATCCTATGATGGAAACCTCAGCAAATTAGTAAAGAAGAGGATGAAATTAAAATTATCCTATGATGGAAACCTCAGCATATTAGTAAAGAAGAGGATGAAAGAATGAAGTTTATTCAAACAACAACGAACACTTTACACAGGTGATATTCGAGAGACCACCAACTCTCCTACACTCAATTTCTACAGAATTCTCTAACTAACTTCTCAGCCTTCCTCTCTTATTTATAGGCTCCCTTACTAACAACTAACCCAATTCAGTTATCCTAAAGATTCCTCTCTTATTTATAGGCTCCCTTACTAACAACTAACCCACTTCAGTTATCCTAAAGATGCTTCCTCAACAAGATTCTTCAACAAACCATATCCACGTCAGCAACTAATCACTGACGTTTCTTTATTCTACTATAGACCAGCAGCTCCTAGTTCGTATCACCACCCACCCCCCATTCAGTAAAACCTTGTCCTCAAGGTTTAAGTGAGGAAACTGAGAAGCTAACAACTCCCAGGATTCCCCTAAGTGCTATCACAATCAGCAAGGTCCTTTCACTTTACAAGAACCTCTACCGAGCCATCCAAAAGTTTTCGAGACCGTAGCAACTCAACAGGGTCGACTGCGAGCTCCATATCCTCTGTTAAAGCCGCTGGCAGTTGTTGTACCGAGGTAGAAGGAAGTAAAACTTTCCGAAGCTGAGACACATGAAAAACGTCATGAATCCGCGCAAATGACGGAAGCTGAAGACGATAAGCAACTTCCCCTATCCGCTCCATGATCGGAAAAGGCCCATAAAAATGAGGACTAAGCTTCTCATTATGGCGACGAGCCAACGACCTCAGATGATAAGGTTGTAATTTCAAATAAACCCAATCACCAGGCTGAAAATGGACCTCTCGGTGCTTCTTATCGGCATACAACTTCATCTTGTGCTCGGCAGCAATTAAACGCTCCTTAAGCTCTCGGAGAATATCATTCCAATTACGAAGCTACTGGTTAACAGCCTCCACCACTGAACCAATGTCCTCCCAACGTAGCACTATAGGAGCCTCGCGACGATACAAAGCCTTGAACCGATACTCAACTGACCCCAACCAATTAGGCCACTGCCGCGGCTTGTTGCCACAAAAGCATTTCAAGTAATCCTCTAAGCTACGGTTAACAACTTCGGTCTGGCCATCCGTTTGAGGATGGTAAGCGGAACTCATGTGTAGCTTAGTACCAGCCAACTGAAACAACTCCTTCCAAAAGTTACTGATAAACACCCTGTCTCTATCAGAAACTATCGAGCGAGGAAAGCCATGCAAACGGACGACCTCCTTCACAAAGACCTCTGCCACTTCCCGGGCAGTAAAAGGATGTGACAACGGAAAAAAATGAACGTACTTGGTTAGGTGGTCCACACGACCAAAATCGTGTCACGCCCCAACGCTCTAAGCAAACCCCCAATAAAATCCATAGAAATATCGTCCCAAACCTGCTCAGGAATTGACAAGGACTGTAGTAAACCAGCGGGCTTAAAAGCATCATATTTCACACGCTGGCAAACCTCGCACTCAGCAACCAAACACTGAATATCACGCTTCATCCCTTCCCAAAACAAGACAGCCGCCAACCGCTTATAAGTCCTAAAAAACCCAGAATGACTCCCATGGCTGAAGAATGAAACTCTCTGAAAAACTTCGGAATTAACACCGAATGCGGAGGCAAAACCAATCTGTTTTTGTAATAGAGCCGACCACCTTTAAGTTGGTAACCGGCTTTGAACTGCGAATCCAACAAAAGACCCTGAACTATCATCCTCAAGTTATCATCCTTGTTCACCTCTTCCTCAATATTCTCCAACTCCTGCGTGTGCATGACTGAAAAAGCCTGCAAGAAAGGCTCCTCGGCTTTCCTGGACAAAGCATCGGTGACTCTATTTTCATGACCCGGCTTATATTGGATCTCAAAATCCAATCCAATGAGCTTACAAATCCATCGCTGTTGGTCTTCATTCATGACTTGCTAGTCCAAAAGAAATCGCAAGCTCCGGTGATTTGTCCGCACAACGAAATGCCTTCCTAGAATATAATGCCGCCATTTCTTTGTAGCCAATACAATTGTCATAAGCTCGCGTTCATGGACAGACTTCGAACGACCTCTCTCAAAAAGTGATTGGCTGAGGAACGCTATAGGTCTGTTATCCTGCACCAAAATAGCGCCAAGGCAGCGACCTGAAGCATCAGTCTCAATGACAAAGGTTTTGGTAAAATCCGGCAAGGCTAGGACCGGTATGGTCACCATCTTACGTTTGAGCTCTTCAAAGGCCCCTAGTGCCTCAGTAGTCCACAAAAAACTATCTTAAGTAAGCATGTTAAGGGTTCGGCCACTTTACCATATTCCTGCACAAAAAGTCTATAGTAACCTGTAAGCCCTAAGAAACCGCGTAAATCTCGAACGATCTTTGGAATAGGCCAATCAACCATGGCAGCGATTTTTGCAAGATCAGCTTGTACGCCAGTGTCGGTGATGATATGGCCCAAATACTCCACCCGTCGCTGCCCAAAAACACACTTCTTCTTGTTGGCAACCAGCTAGTGTTGTTGTAGTAAACCAAAAACACTGCGCAGGTGTTGTAAATGGGAATCCTAATCCTTACTGTAGACCAGAATATCGTCGAAGAAAACTAAGATGAATTTGCGCAAGTGTGGTCTAAACACCTCGTTCATTAATGATTGGAAGGTAGCAGGTGCGTTTGTCAGACCGAAGGGCATAACCAGAAATTCATAATGACCCTCGTGAGTGCGAAAAAACGTTTCCCTTCGTCCCGTCATTCTGAAGGAATGAAGTAAAGGGACGACCTTACCATCCTCGTCCTGCCATTCCGAAAGAATGAAATAAAGGGACGACCTTCCCTCTACTAACGGTCCGGCATTCCGAAAGAATGGAATAAATGGCCTACAAAAAAGTAAAGCGCTTTCGGCCCGCCATTCCGAATGAATGGAATAAAAGGCCTACCTTAAAAAAGTAAAGCGTTTTCCGCCCGCAATTTTGAAGGAATGGAATAAAGGGCCTGTGAACACACACGGGAAGAAAACAGAGAACAAGGAAAAGCACTGCTTTATTTCTTATTCTTTCTTATTCATAGAATGAGGTACAGCCGGCCATATAAAGGCACAGAAACAGAGCATAAAAAAGGAAAGAAATAAAAGAGAATAATCATTTCCTAATACAATAGGTATAAACCTAGCATATTCCCTTAACCTAAGAAGTTACCATAAATAGTTCCTGATTTGTCTATATTCGTCCACACTCCCCCTCAAGTTGGGCTGTATAAGTTGTACATGCCCAACTTGTCTACTAGTTTTTCAAACAAGGGTCTAGACAATCCCTTGGTCAAAATATCGGCAGCTTGCTCGGTTGTGGGAACATATGACATAACAACTGTTCCTTCTTCAATCTTTTCCTTGATAAAATGTCGATCCACTTCCACGTGTTTAGTCCTGTCATGATGTACAGGATTATGTGAAATATTTATGGCTGCCTTGTTATCACAATAAACACGCAATGGAAGTGTAACTCTAATCTTGAGTTCATCCAACAACATTCTTAGCCATAGATCTCAGTTCAGCTTCTGCACTGCTCCTTGAGACAACTGATTGCTTCTTACTTCTCCATGTAACAAGATTTCCCCAAACAAGGGTACAATACCCTGAAGTAGATCTCCTATCATCAGTGGCTCCTGCTCAATCGGCATCTGTGTATACCTCGACTCCTCTCTCATCCCCCTTTTTAAAGAACAAACCTCGTCCAGGTGTTCCTTTCAAGTATCTTAGGATGCGAAATACTGCTTCCAAATGTCCTTCGGTGGGGGCATGCATATATTGGCTAACTCTACTAACAGCGAAAGCTATGTCAGGTCTTGTATGCGACAGATAAATTAGTCTCCCAACCAGTCGCTGAAATCTACCCTTGTCTACAGGATCACTGTCTCCTGTTCCCTTCTTGCAATTTGGCTCCACAGGAGTTTCTGCAGGTTTGCAACCCATCATTCCTGTTTCTTTTAGAAGATCCAACACATACTAACTTTGTGAGAGAGATATCCCACATTTATTTCTGGCAATCTCCATTCCAAGGAAGTATCTGAGACTTCTCAAATCTTTGATTTCAAATTCTTTCACCAGTTTCCTCTTTAGTCTCTCCCCTTCTTCAAGTTCATCTCCAGTCAATATAATATCATCAACATAAACAATGAGAATAGTAGTCTTAGCATCCCTGTGCTGATAGAACAATGTGTGATCTCCTCTGGCTTGCTTATATCCCTGTTCCCTAACCACCTTAGTGAACCGATCAAACCAAGCTTGTGGTGATTGTTTTAGTCCATACAGGGATTTTCTTAGCTTGCAGACTCGATTACCCTTGTCCTCAAATCCTGGTGGCATCTCCATATAGACTTCTTCCTCCAAGTCCCCATTGAGGAAAGCATTTTTTACGTTAAGTTG